GGAGGGAGGGAGGGAGGGAGGGAGGGAGGGAGGGAGGGAGGGAGGGAGCAGGAGAGAGAGAAACCTTGATGTCATTAATTAATACAATTTGGATGCCTGAGTGGGTGCAGCATGCAGTGAACGAATGAGCAGCACATGACCTGGTTTCGGTCGACTGGCTTTGATTTCAAGCCTCTCTGCCTTTCTTCGTGCCCTCTTGGCAGCCCTCGCTTCATCCTGTTTCAGCTGCATGGGGGTTTTCTGCTTCGGGGTCGTCATCTTGGTCTTCACCTTGGGCCTTCCAGCACTACGGATGCACAATCTCTGGAAATCTGTTCGTACAGGTGCTTGATGGCGACCACGGTTGTGTGATGACTTGTATTGGCACAATAGCTTTGCCAGAGGATTCAGATCATCCCAGCCATGCCCCTTCAGGAATGATGATGACGATGATGATGATAACGATGACGATGATGGGCAAACCAAGATGCCTGCAGCACCTGATCCTCCCACGGATAACGATGATGATGGCGGTCGCCAGTGGATGATGCGTGGCCATACATTATTTCCCCTGTGTTTGGATGATTGGCATTCAATGGTTGCCACAATGCAGGTGCAACCCAGATCTCAGTCACGATTGCAGTCTGCATGTCTAAAAATAGAACATGACAAGGTCTCGCTCAAAGCAAACGCACCAGCATATCTTAACCAATGACAAGGTAGTCACACCCAGGCCCTGTATACGAATATAATGCCCGCCGGGCGCTCTATTACTTATAACACCTGGGCGTTGTATTCAGTAAACTGGTAGCAACTTCCTTGAGACCTGAAAATTAGAAAAAAGAAAAAAAAATCTGTAAAAGAATATGTTGTTGTAGGATTGCAAAGGAAATAAATTTTGCTGAGGGGTCACTTCAGAATTCCTTATTCAGTCGAAGATCTCAAAAAAAAAAAAAACTAGAAAAATCAAACCAAAGAGTTCGGAGACGACTTTTTGCATCGGCCATCAGCAGCTCTCTTTATTAAAAAAAAAAGAAAAAAAGACAAAAGGGAGATAGAATACTGACTGAGTACAGCGTACCAGTTACCGTCTTCCCCCGAATAGAACGCATGGTCATTATTGCTGTACGGGACTACAACTTGGACCAAATACAGCTATAATGACTGCGTTCTGATCAGGTGAAGACAGAGCTCCACTCCAAGAAATTTGTTATGTTCCAGGTCGGTGTACCCCCCTGCCCTCTTCATTTGGAAACAGTAGTGTCACCACAACTTTGACTCCCTTGTGTCAGATAATAAACAATACTGAGGCATTCGCGCGTGATGATACTACCATATTCACCCCAATAGAATGCAGATAAATAATACTGAGGCATTCATGCGTGATGATACTACCATATTCACCCCGATAGAATGCCCTGTCATTATAGCTGTATTTGGGGCAACTTCCAGTCCAGATGCAGAGATAATGACCGAGCGTTCTCTTCGGATGACAACGGTACCTTATCTACTACTGCAGCAATGCAGAGAGATAAACTACTGAAAGCGAGTGCTGCATTGCAACTCTCCCAGCATCAGAATCATCGCGCTCAACAAACCTCCTGAGCATGTGAATGCACACACACACACACACACGAGCTGTGTAGAGTGAACATTACAACACACCAAATTGCAACATGCATCACACCGAAATGTCAGAGAGTATTCCCACAAAGCAACGAGATGGTAATCAGCCCAAACTGAAGAGAATCATAATCCAAAACACTCGAATTATACGAGTTCCAAGCTTTAAGCACAAGTAGCTGTTGCCGCAGCCCAAAAGCATCAATATAGGTAACTTCTCTCTCTCTCTCTCTCTCTCTCTCTCTCTCTCTCTCTCTCTCTCTCTCTCTCTCTCTCTCTCTCTCTCTCTCT